GATGGTTACCCGCACAAAACTCACTCCGGGAGGGGTGACGTTCAACTTGTCGACGCACCTCTGCCTCTTACCCATACTGTAATGGAATCTTGTACCGTACGGTGGCACACACGTAATCTTGCCCATCGATGTGCGTTCGTATTTCGAGTCCCAACCTACTGCATGGGCGCTCAGTTCATGCCCATACAACCCATTCCTGGGTTGCAGCGGCCGGTCCTCTGGTGCGACCGTTGCGGTGTGCGCCAGGGCCTTTTCTGAGCAAAATTCCGATATTTTGTCGCACTGGCTCAAACCGAAGAACAAGCACGCCGTCGCACCCGACGGATGCTCCCACTCAATGCGCTATAGACCGCTGGTGGAAGGGTGGGTTCCGCACAGCGCAGTATCGCCGACCAGGCCATTGCATCACGGGCGTCTGCTGCATGTCCCGTAGATTTGAGCGGGCGCAGGTTGACGTGGACATGTCTTCCGTCCCTGAATTAGTTCCTGAAATGGACGCTTGTGATTGGTGAAATGGTGTCACCGAGAGCGAATTGCGTGGTTGTTATTATATTCATAGGATATTTATAAGAAACACTTATATTATTATTGTTCCTGTTCGGTTTCGTTCGACGATTACTTTCATCCAACAGGTCATTGTGTGTTCCGGCAATCGGTTGTCGTAGGGAGGCGAGGCCATGAAGACGGAATCGAACGTGCGAAAGAGAGGAGCTGCCGCCGCTGCTAGCGAGATGCATCCGTGGACAAAAGACTTTCATTCGATCGACCTAGGTGCATCGACGAACAAGACCCAGAAATCGCAAGAGCACAGCGAGTACTTTAGCGTGCATTGGATCCTGGCACCGCTCCTGCTGTCGTGGGGCGTGTGGAACTGCATCATGGTGCCCCATGTCCTCAACATATTGGCTGCAATTTCAATCGGCGCATTGATCTTGTTCTCCATGGTGGCCACGCCCGCGCCGACGTCGTCCACGTCAGACGACAGAGACATGCACAACGATCCAGGCAACAACATGAAGTTCCGCATCAACTTGCTTCCGTCCATGAACGCATGGTTGTCCTATCTATCTCGAACTTCGATCGACACGCGCAAGCCTGACGAACCACCGATGCTGCGCTTGCATCGATCAACATCGACGACATCGACTTTTTCGTCTGACAGTGAGCTCGAATTTGCCGTTCGCTGCTCCGAGTCGACCATTGCGATCGACGACGACTTTGACATGTACCAGGACGATGTGTGCGACCCCGAAGACGATGAGGTTGTCTGGGTAGCCCCTGACGCCCTCAACTGTTGGATGGTGGCACCAGCAGCCGCAAAGGCCCCATCACAACCACTTGAGCCCCCAGTCGACTCCATCATCACCGAAGAAGGGCCACGAGAAAGGAAGGACCGAAGTACCCCCGACGTCCCAGTCGCCACAAAGCGAAAGGTGCGTGAGGAGCCAACTTCTACCAGCGGACGACCTGTGTCGACGAAACGGCTCATCGTTGCAAGCCCACCGAGGCGCCTCCCCAAGTCGTCCCTGTGTCGGTCTCCAGACGTCCGGCGCATGATGGAAGAGCTTGAGCGCATGCAAGAGGAGAGCGATGCGCTGGTCGTGGCAGCGGAGTCGGTCGGTCTTGGCTCGCGATGTACAATGAACGAGCGCCTTCGGCGCATGCGTCGGGCGTGAAGTGGGAATAAAAGTTTCGAAAAAAATTAAACGTGATATGTTAAAATGATAAAACAACCCAAGAAGTCAAAAAAAAACTAAATATGTTCGGTGTATCAGTGGAAAATATTGAAGACTGTGTGGTCCACAGCAGAGATTCAATTCTCTTTGCGAGGCAAACAGGTACACCATGAAACGAAAGCTATTTCGTTATGTGGTACTAGGATGCGATACAATCTACGAATTCACCGGCTTGTGCGGCCACGGGCGTCATGATGCATTGCCATTCATGACACTGGATCGGAGATATGTCCGTGGATTTCAAATTTTGAAAATATTCTTTTCTACAGTTATCCGCTTTTGTTTAAAAAACTCATAAAACCTGTGTACGCCTGCTCGAGGTCAAAACTCAATTGGCGCGTTTGGTTGTCGTCGAGCTCGTCGGACGCGCGCATGGCATTGAGGACGCGCAGCCACTGCTCGAGCTTCAAGAGACCGTCAAATGTGGGGGGCAAACCCTTTACTTTCGTGATGGAGGCCATGCTCTCGCTCAGGAGTGGCTGCACTTCGTCCACCGCGCGAATGTTCATCTTGAGGGCGTCGCTGAGGGTAATGAAGTGTTGCACCTGTGGTAGTGACCGTGAGGTATATGCAGAAGAAGTCGCAATGTGCATACCGTTTGCGCAACATTGACAGCGTCGGCGTTGGTACTGGTCGTGTTGTGCACGACGGTCGCCGGGACACCAAGACGCACCAGCCGCTCGACGGCCCGCGGGCAATCAAGTCGATAATGCGCCAAGAAAGCATCAATTGACACAAGATGTCCTGCGTTTCGGAGGGCAGTTTCTGCTGTCTTGTATTGGGAGATCAGCTTGGTGCACGCTTCCGTGTACTACAATGCAATGAATCTAGCGAAATGTGGAGGGGACGACAGACCTCCTCGGGAGAGATCGCATCGCGCACATATGCGGTCTCGAGGTGTTCAGTGGTCTACACAGTCGAGTGATGACTTGGCACGATGCTCCATGGATATACCTTGATGATAGCATAAAGATCGGACATGTCCTCGTACATGCGTCGGTCCTTGGCGCTCTCGAACAGCTTGACTTCCGAGGGAGGTTTCGAAGCCATAGTCGACGACTCGGAGCTCGTTCGGGACAAGGCAAACGTAGTCTAGTTCGTGGCGAATCGATCACGACTGTCGAGTGCATGGGGACAGAGCAATCACTATACCGAGGACATGACGGTTGCTTGGACGTGGATGCTCCCTGACGACGACAGCGCGTAAGCGGGAGGTGCGTACGTCGGTGGATTCATCCCACGAATCCGATTCTGCATCGGCATGGGGTCAGAATGTATGTGGTGCCTCAAAATAACAAAAGACGGCATTTAATGGCATATAAAATTCAAATGAAAGGTTGCAATTCACAAAAAAACGTCGTTCCCTCGTACGCGATAAGACGTAATCATGTCATGCAAATTTTCAAGGCATTTGTAGGTGAAACGTCCCGTGCTCTCGTCGTCGTGGTTGTCTCTGGAGAATTGTCCAGCTTTCATTTCATTGAATTAAAGTATGCATCGACGGCGAGACGTACATTCTGAATGTCCTGGCATCCAGCAACGGTCGTCATAACAACATGAACGAACATGGAGAAACGTCGCGAGCATTTGGCACGGGTTCACTTGCTTGAGAATACAATGAACGATTGGCCTGCATCTACCTCGCGCCCCCCCTTCCTTGTATCCCTGTGGGAGGGGGAAGGGGCCTACCAACAACCACCACACACATCCCGACGCAAGTCTTGTACAACTTGTTCTGCAGCTCAAGTTCACTCGGGGGAGGGCGACGTGAAAGCATCGGCGGAAGCGTTCGGTGCACTGTGGCATGCGCTGAGTTCGTCGGATACATCCCGCCATGAGGCACTCGCGCCATCAACTCAAACCGGTTCGGACTGCATTGCACGTGGTATACTTTAGTTCATGGCAGCAACAATCTCATCCATTGCAAACGCGCCACTCGGGGCTAGCACCGCGGTCTCTCTACCGGCTGCAGAGCAGTGTCAGCCACGAATCTCGCCAAGTTTGCCCCGTCCACCCGAGGGACATTCTCTATGCCTTCCGTTCTCAGGTATATTCGAACCGCATGCGTGGTGATGACCGCCTTCCACGGATGGTCAAACGCACACGTCGTTCGTCATTGTGGTGAGCGTACTCAAGCTACAAAGCAGCTCCCTTCGAGCATCCTCTCTCGAGCTGCGGCGGGGTGATGCTTAGCATGGCGCACGAGCTGCTGCAGCGCCGTGCAAGCATCGCGAAGGCATCGTCTCGGGACAGTTCAGCGAGCGCGATCTTTGGTCGTTTCGGATGGGTGAAAAGCCACAACCAAATTGGTGAAACGCAGCAAAATTCCCACATCGATGGGAAATTCGGCAAAAATCGACCTAATTTGGATAAAATTTCCACCACATCTCCTGAATTGAAGTGGCTTGACAGGATTTCGTTGATGCGGTGAGACACCAGTCAATTAAACCTACGTTTAAGAAACCGTTAAAATGCGAGATTTCACCAAACACACCACACACAACAATCCGAAAGCCCCGCGACAGCAGAGGAAACCACATTGTATGCAGCAGTGACGGGCACTATAGAGCAGAGGGCACGCAGCTAGCAGTACGTACAATGCCCCTTGGCATAGTTGACTTTGGTTTGCGGGGATGGAAGGGGGATTCACCAACGTCGGGTTAACGGCATTCTCTCAAAGTGGAAGTGGCACTCCTCTTTCAAGCAAGCGCCCCTCATCCCGCCACATGCGAGAGGTTCACGCTATGCTGTCAAACGGGGGGGGTAATATCACGTCCAGCGAGCGCGAACGAAGCACGCACAACGGGGCCACGCGTGCTTTTGCATGCTTTATCTGGCTGCACGCATGACTGGGTTTCCGCTCCCACCACACGCAAAGAAGCTCTCCCGCTGCGAGTTGGAATGCAGAAAAACGCGTTTAAACGCGCGTTTTATGACATATTGTGACGCTTTGCCGGTTGGAGTGAACGTTGAAGCTGGTGGCCACTTTGGAACTCCCCGCTTCCCCCAGAGCACAACGCGATGGCGATGCAAGAAGAATTGTCGCCTCTACTGCCGCTCAAGCGCGCTCCTCCCGCGGTGGACGACACGGCGGACATGCAAGCCATCATTCGAGACGAGGTCCCCGCGATGTACCGCCTCGCGTACCCAGTGGTGGGTCTATGTGTAGAACTAGTCGTTTCCTCAACCTGATGTCCATGGCAGGTCCTCACGTACGTGCTGGAGCTAACGCCTGGCCTCGTGAGCCTCGTCCTCGTGGGCCAAATGGCGGCGGAAGATACGAAACGCTTTGTCGACGCTGCCGCGTTGAGTGTCATGTACCTCAACTTGACGGCGCTGTCGGTCGGCATTGGCCTTGCCACGGCCATGGACACACTGTGCGCGCAGGCGTATGGTGCCGGGAACCTTCGACACATTGGCTTGTATCTCCAGACGGGGACAGTCGTGCTCGGCGCGGCGTTTGTCCCGATATTCCTGGCAAACTTTTACAGTGCCGACATTTTGGTCTACTTGAACCAACCCGAAGACGTGGCGGCGCTCAGTGGGTCGTTCTCGCGGATCCTGGCGTTTGGCTTGCCGTTTTTGTACGCGTACGAGCTGCTGAAGAAGGTTTTGCAAGCCCAGAACATTGCGCTGCCGATGCTGTACAGCGCCATCCTGTGCAACATGGTGAACGTCGTGATGGGGTACTTGCTGGTGAACCACACGCCGTGCGGGTACCTGGGCGCGGCAATCAGTCGAACGCTGGGTAACATGGCGCTCCCGTTGTCGCTGCTGCCGTATTTTTTGCAAAAGAATCGACTGGCGTTCTGGCCGGGGTGGCAGCTGCGCGCGGCAGTCCAAGGCGTCCCCGAGTTTATCTATTTCGGCCTGGCGGGAATGCTCATGATGGTGTTTGAGTGGTGGAGCTACGAGATCATCGCGCTCCTGGCAGGTAGACGCTTTCTTGTCCACCGCACGCTCCCAACACCATGTCTAGGCCTGCTCCCGAACGCGATTGTCGCGATCGGGGCGAACGCTGTCCTGGTCAACATCACGGCGACGGTGTACATGTTTTACCTCGGGATTGCGGTCGCCGGCAACATTCGTGTCGGGAATGCGCTCGGGTCGAACCGGCCGAAGCGGGCCAAGATAGCTGCGTTGGTCGCGACGGTGCTCGCTGGCGGCGTCTCGCTTGTGACTGGCATTTGCGTGTTTGCATTTCGATTCATGTACCCCCGCGTGTTTACGCAGGACACGGCCATGATTGAGTAGGGGACGCACACGATGCCATTTTCGCACTGATGGTGGTGTAGGCTCGCGGCGCAAGTGGCCGTCATCGTGGCCGGGTTTCAGTTTGTCGATGGCGTGAATGCCGCGATCCAAGGCACGTTGCGTGGGTGTGGGCTGCAAGCGTACGGAGCTGCCATCAACTTCGTGTCGTACATTTTGTTTGGGCTCCCGGTCGGCTACGTGTTTGAGTTTCCGTTTGGGTGGGGCCTCCCAGGCCTGTGGATTGGCATGACGCTCGGATACACGTTTGCCGGGGTCTGCGGCGCGTACGTGCTGTCGACGCGCAGTTGGCAGGCGCTAGCAGACGCCGCGCAAGCGCGCGCCAACTCGAAGTGCGCGTAACGATCGAGAATGGTATTGCAACGATGGTTTTGAATGCGGATGGCACGCCTTCGAAGGACACGTTTGTTTTGTGCTCGAGGCGTCGAGTGGTGTGGTTCCTGCGCCGCCCTCGGCCGCAGGCGCACATTGACCAGACTGCCTCTAGTGGTGTAGGGTGCGCATGGGCATAACGCATTGGCATGGCGATCGCCATCGACCGGCATAAAAATGACGCCCACACGGGCAACGCCAGTCCGAGACATGAATTGTGTCAGGTCCCCTCGCGCCCCCCGCAAGGAAACTGTTGGAAGCGATGATGTTCATGCGCTCCAATGGATGCCACAAACGATTGCTCCATGGCGATGCTGGTGCGGAAGCGCCACCCTCCCTCTGGCCATGCAAACCCACTCTGCATCACACAGGGGCCCAAATCTTTTGCAACCACGCAGTCCAGGTGCATCTATCTCTCCAAACAAGCCGCAGACTGCGCGCCATCGTGGAGGGAAGAGTGGCATCGTGCTCCTCCGCACGTTGCGTTACCCAGCAACGAATGTGCATTCACGAGAGCGGCATGTCGAGCTGCAGCAATGACGGATGCGACCCAAACACGCAGCTGTCGGACGCGGTCATGTCGAGAGTCTCGACCTGGTTGCTCTCGCCTCGCCCACCTTGTCCTGTCCATCCATTCATGTGAGTGAAACAGCACGGGCCGCTCGTTGTACCGAGTTCCAGTGGACAGCATGGCCGAGGCTTGAGGTGCGATGAAAGACGCTTGAGCGAGGTCATCCACTGCGCCGACTTGGCTCGTGGCATGGTCTCTCGTCGGGGCGCTGTGGGGCTCAAAGGAACCACCATCCACGCCGCGCTGTCGTCGCCAACTTCGACCCCATCGTGCGGGTTTTTTCCGTCCGTGATCGAGTCGTCCGGTGGTGGCACCATGGCTCCGTTGGGACGGGCTGCCTCTGGTGCCAAGTACTCGGCCAAGAGCTGGCCACACGTTGAATCAAGTCGAGCACTCGACGGCAGGTCTGGCGCACCTCGTCTTCTCTTTCGCAAAGCGCATGGCGGGATGTGCTCGACGTTGGAGGGGGTGCGGAAAACGTCGCCAAGAACGACTGAATCGCCAGGTGCGCCTACGCAGTGGCGAGTCCCTCGTCGTGAATTGGCGCGTCCAGTGGAATGTGCAGTCGTTGAAACGATCGACGAGCATGAGCGAGCGTACCGCCGCCAGGTCGTCGTGAATGAGTTGGTCGCGATGCGCTTCAACATGAGCAAACTCGCGAAAGAGGCTGTCGGTCAATGTTTCGAGCAACTTGGTCGCAGCGATGACGCGCGGGGACTTGAGGCGATACAGGCTATCGACCTCGAGCTTGGCCGCCGCGCGGGCTCGGATCAAGTCCTGGAACGTGTTGTGTGCCGATGCGGGGAACGAAGGCGTACGAGCTACCTCATGGGCCTCGAGAGCCTTCGCCTTAGCTTCCAACGATTGCACAGCTCGTGACAGCGCCGCATCCTGAGCCGAATTCAAGTCAGTGGATGGCGGGTAGCATGTAGCAGCCATACCAGAATTTCTGCACGGACATGGGAGGTCGAGTTGGTTGAACTCGCCGCAGTGACTGCATCGAGTGCCGTGGAAGTGCCGTGGAGAGCAAGGAGGGCCACGCGGTGGGCGTCAAGACGACCTGCAACTACGCGGACGTGGCCGATGTACGCGACGAAGTTGTCGAGCGCAAGCTTGAACTTGGAGTCGTGGCTCGGCTGCGTCTACATCGATCGTGAGAACGTGGTTCGCACGGCGGAGGTATACTCTGCCAATGGCTTGCAGCACCTCCTGCGTCAGGAGTCGCTTCTTCCGCCACAGGTTTTGCGCAAGTGACGCCGTCGTTGGCTTGACTTGCATCGTGGGCTTGGGCGTCCAGGAATGTCTACAGCGCGAAAATTGTGCTGCGAATATTTATAGCCCAGCGAGTCTTGCATGTGCGACGACTGGGCCATCGTTGGAGAGCCAAGAGCTCGCATGCCATGTACATGGAGCGGAACAACGCAACTCCCACCACTCCTCGTCGACACACAAGGGCTCATAGTTGGTCCAGACGTAGTCCTGGGGGTGCATGGTCTCTAGCCGACCGCGCTGACGAGAAATGTCCCATCCAAGCAAAGTGGGTACATCCCGCGTGATCCTTTTGTTTTCGTGTCCATGTCGAGTACGATGGTAGCACGGTCGAGAAGACTGACTCACGTAAGGGTCATCGTGCGCTCGCTCCATGCGATGCGGACGGAACAAGATCGGATGATTTGTGTAACAACGTCATGGCATTTCGTTGAATATCCAAGCTTGGCTTCGTCTACATGTGGGCATTGGTCTAACGCTCCCTCGACGGCGCATCACGAGCAAAGGCTGGTGTGTCGTATGCGTTTGGCAGGAAATTGTTCGCTGCCCCATGCATCATATAGTCGATCGAATCGAGTTGGTTTGCGTGTTGAATGCGGTGGGTTTTGTTCTCGTCACGATGACTCGATGTGGCCATTCGGTCGAAACACGCGCGTGCAGCTGGGGTCGCGAATGCAAATCGACGCGTTTTCGTGCGTGGCGAGAGCAGAGGCAAACGCGATGCAGTCGGAACACATGTCTCGGTCGACGACGACTCGAATCGCATGCCACGGTCGGTCTTTGTGTGGCATGTGGCGGCTGAGGTGCGTGAGCATTTGCTTTTCTGCGTGACACCAGCAAAACATGAAGCTGCGGCTATTGAGGACGCGTGGGTTCTCGACTGCGTATCGATGGCCAATGGCATCGGCAAGCCACGCCGCCGCCATGCTGAGGTCGCATTGAGGCAAATATCCCTCGGTTGTGCCGCATACGCCAAAACCACTCAGGGTTTGACCTGCCACGAGCTGCGCCAACTGCATTCGGTCATTGACGACGCTTCCCTCCACCGTTTCTGCACGGCACGTGGCAGCACGCTTGGAAGTCGGGAACTGCACTTGTTTCGACCGAAGGAAGTCTAGGTATGCCTCGAAACGACGAATCTGCGTCGCATGCGGCAGTGTCAAGTATGTGCTGCGCTCGCTTGGGTTGAGAAACTCGGCAAACGTGTAGTACGCGGCCGTCGACGACGCTGTCGCCATGCTTGGGTGGCTGTGACAGGTCATTTCGTCCAAGTTTTTTATGTACATTTTATATTTCCTGACATACAAATTCTGTAGCATTAAATGCTCTTCTTTGGTATCCACAGCCTATTGAATGTTCGCAGCATACGTATTCTATTTACTTATTTTAAAATATTTTAAAATACGTTAGTTCGAGCTTTTTCACCATGCCGTCGGACGATTGTCTCTCCGATAACAGCACGATAACAGCATGGTGGCGACTGCACTACCGGTGGTCGTAACCCTGGGCGACTCGATCACTGAATATGGTGCCAAAGCAGACGAGTCTGGGTGGGTGTGGATGTTGTGCCAGGACTACCGCAACCGTGCCGCCGTGGTGAACTGGGGCAAATCAGGTTGGACCACTCGACGGTGGCTGCCTGAGATCGCGGCATCTCGGGACGAGCTGGCAGCACTCTCGCCGTCTCTGATCACTGTTTTACTCGGCACGAACGACGCAGCACCTGCATTCTATCGGTCGGGGGTCCCTTTGGAGGAGTACACCACAACAATGCGAGGAATTCTCGGTGTTGTAGCTCAGGCATGTCCTTCGGCACAGATCCTACTCATTGCTCCTCCCGCCGTAGTCGATGAGGTCTTTGGTCTTCCACAGAACGAACGCGTTTACGCCTACGCCGATGTCTGCCGTCAGCTCGGTGAGCCTTCAAACATCCATTGCTACGTATGTCACGTCGTTATCTAGGCTCCGAACTGCGGATCCCCGTTGTGGATTTGTGGACGGCGACGCAGGACCACCCCGAGTACTTTTGCGACGGTATTCATTTGAGTAGTGACGGAAATCGCGAGTTGTATCGTTTGGTCTTGGACGCAATTCGTTGCAACATGGCCCATCTGCTTCCCGACCGGATCGGCGCCGCCTCCAGTTGGTGGAAGCGGTATTTTCAAGCCTGCTTTTAGCACAATCAAGTTGCATGGCCGGGCCACATGAACTCGCTCGGTCAGTTGAACACCAAGGGTCTCCGTGTGAGTTCACGATGGACATTTCGCCAATGTGAAACACAATCCAGCTAATAGTTTTGCATGGAGATATATTGAAAACGGAAAATATTTCCACCTTTGCGAGGGATGGTTTCGTTCATTCTGATTGGTCAAGATCTCCCATTTAGAATTTGAACTTGCGATGCATGCCGAGGTCGAGCGAGAACTCGATCGACTGCGGCACGCAATGCGGGACCTGAACAAGAACGTGCAGAAACTATCGGGCGTGAACAACGGGCTCGTAGCATTCAACGATTCCTTTGGCACATTTCTCACCGCCATCAATCTGCAGAAAACGTGTGTCGAGATGCCCGTTTCGTCGCCACTGCCCAAACATGCCACGGTTGCGGTGGCCCCACCTGCAAATTTCAACCTGTCCGGCGTGCCAGCACCAGCACCAACTACCTTGGTCTCTCTTCCGACAGTATTGCCTACATCGAAGATCCCTGTGCTTAAAATCGCCAGCGCCTTCCCACCCAAACCAAGTGCCGACCCCCCTCCGCTTCGACCAAAGAAAGCAAAGAAACAACATGCGCCACCGCCCGCGCCAGTCCCGCCTCCCAGATCATATCACTGGCCCAAAGGTACGTTTGCATGCACCGAAATGCTGCCGATCATGATATCGACGTAGGCGTTCGATCTAGAATTCCACCTAAATACCAGTCGGCCCCAGAACTTGCCAAACTCGAGCGTGTACTCTTCGTACTGGCCGACTCCCTTCGCGGCATGTAAGACTGCCGACAGCACCAGCGCTCCAACCTGATGTGTGACAGGTCCATCGGCGAACTCGTCAAAGCCAGTAACATCAACGTGATCCAGGCAAAGGACATCCTGCAGACCCTGATGAAGCTCGAGCAGATCAAATGCAAACGGGAAAAGCATGTACGTGATGTCATATGGATTCATTTGTCTTTGTACAGTCTCCGTATTCACATCAACGTGATGTCCAGGGCTTTCTATACTGCCGTTCGTAGCGACCTCCGTCGACGCCCTGTCGAATTCACTCGCTTTCTGTACAACTCCTGTCCTGCATCGCGTTCGCTTCGTCGATGGCGGAGGGCTCTTCGCCCCCCGACGCTTCGACGACGCCGTCGTCGTCGTGCTCGATGTCGTCTTTCACTGAGTGCCGGGCAACGGTCGGTGAGACAGCGGCCTGGTGCCGAAGTTGTTTACGCTGCAACTGCTTGACCACGACGTCGGCAAAGCTTAACGACCGGGCGCTGGCCGGACTGCGCAACAGGTCGTCGTCGGTCGGGGCGTTGATGATACTCTGCACGTCATTCACACATTCGCTATGCCTGCGCTGGGGGATGTCCTGTCGAGTCGTCGGCAACTTGATTGCCTTTGTCGCCGAGTGTTGACGTGGAATGTGCATTTGACGAGGCGGCGACGCGAGCGGTTGCGTGTGGAGGGGATGGTGGTGGGGTTGGTAGTGGTGCTGGAACGTGAGCGGTGGCGTGGGGTGATGATGGCCTGGCGTGTCGAGAGGCAGCAGTGCGTGCGGTTTGTACTTTGGCTCGTTCGTACACGTCAGGATGCTCCGCAGCAAATTGTTGGGGTGGAGGGGCACACCGCCAACGTATCGATTTGACGGGAGCGCGATGGGACCGTCCAGATTCATCGTCGACCACGCACTCGCCAGCGCCTACACCCCATGTCGACCACCCTGTCGTTGTGCGCGACCCACGTACCCGCCGCAATTGCATGATCCGGAAGCAGTTGCGACCGACGTTGTTGCCAGGACGAAGCGGGTCTTGGATATAAATCGGGTCAAATTTGTGCGGGTCGTAGTCGCACGGCTTGAACGGCGCGGGGCCGGTCCAATGGTCGCGGTGCAAGTTTTGTCGCTTCGAACCAGGCGAGCTCAAGTTGAGGTTCTCGAACTGGACGTGCTCCATCGGGACGTTGTGCCACACGGTCGTGGCGGCCGTCGAGTGCTGCACGAGCTCGTCGCGATCGAGAAAACATCGCGACGCCACACTACATCGCCATCTCGTTAGCTCTCGTCATCGAGCGCAGCAAAGCCTGCGATCCACCGCGCCAACTCGCTCGGTCTCGTTAGCGCATGAAGACGCGAATGCACGTCGACGCGCCACCATACAATTCAGGCAGGGATCTCTACCTGATGCCAGTTTGGCGCGGGTCAAACTTGGACCCGTAAAAGTTGAGGAACCCGAGGAGCATGGTGCCAAAATCCGTGCGGCTTTGGGTGCTCACAATCAAGTTGCACTGGGTACTGACCGCTTCGGGGTGGCACGTCCGATTGCCGACCTCGAATTCCTGGAGAAATCGCGTCACCATGAGCAGCAGCGCATAGCTCGACAGGCCGCCCGTGTACGCGACGCCCAGTCCTCGATCGATGATGAACGTCTTGAGGACTAGCATGAGCGGCGCGAGCGCAGGCAGTTCATGGAGGAATGAGTGGACGAGGTCGTTTGTGGCGAGGCCGTTGTGGCCAGGCCCTTCAAACGAAATGTCGAGCCGTACATGGTACGGTGCCGTCGTGAGCAGCGTGATGATCGGGATCGAAGCGTTGGGGATCGTTTTGACTGACTCGGGCACGACCCACGACTCGGACCGGAGCTTTCGAGCTAGATGCTGCTGCCACGTTTCCTTGATAGCATTGCGTCCTTCTAGCACGCCCGGGGCCTACAACCAACACCCCGTCATGGGCACGCACAGCCACGTCGACTAGTCAAACGAGAGTTGGCCGGCGCAAGCGCATGACAGATTCAACAACAGCTAGCTCCACCGCAAGATGACAGGTAGGTCTTTTCAACGTACTTCGGCGGGTTCGTCGCGGCGGACCTTGGGCAGGCAAATGACCAAGTCCAAATCGCTACCATGCCATGGTTGGATGCTGACACGCGCAGTTCCAATGGAATCCGAACGACATGGCCCTGTACGCACCTCGACGGCAGCGACAAACCCGTCACGAACGATCCATATGGACGGACTTGAGCCCGCGGCCACAGCGCCTGCACGGCCGAGACGCAGAACCGGCTGACCGCCGTGTGCGCCGCGAGGCGGCTGTGTGTTTCAGCTTGCAAGTGGGTCACAAACTCACAGATATCCCAGTGCAATTTCGTTTTGGGAGGAAGAAGCGACGTTGGCACCGACACGAACAGGTTGTTGTAGCGATGGGTGGTCTGCGGCGGGGGTGGCGCGGGAAGGGGCGCTTTCGTCTGCTGCTGTTGCAGCGCAAACACCGCCGCCTGGAGTTCGCGCACCGTGTGCTGCAGCTGTGCGACTTCGACTTGAAGCGCATTTGTCGCCTACACACCGTCCTCAACGATCCTGCCGCGTCATCGATTGAATCCACTCGCATATGAACAACCTTGGCGTTGGAATCCACGATGGCCTGCAGGGCCGTGGCCTCTGGGGTGTCTGTAGCTTGCGTCGCTTGATCGATCATGACCAAAGGCGGCTGGGACGTGGTTTTCGGCGAGGTGTGACATGGCACCGTTTGTTTCGGAGACGGGAGCGGAGTCGGCGGCGGAGACGAGCATGTCAACCTGTCCCGGGGAGTTTGGGGCGGCTCCATCATCCACGTCGGCAGACGGGTCTCCGAGTGACGCCACTGAAACGAGTGCGGCCAGTCCAGGGTCGAAAACGTTCGCATCCAGTTTTGTGTCGTGGTCGGTTGAGCGCTGTGACAGAGCGGCGGGACAGCGTCTTCTTGGAATAATCTCGGCAGAAAAAACGAGGTTTCGTCGGGGTGCTGGTCCTACAATCGTACCCCATCGTTGCTGACGTTGCTACAGAAATTGCTTCGTACGAGGGCAAAAGGTGGGGGATACGACGTGGTCGGGAAAAAGGGCGGCGACGTATCGGACGGATGATGGAACGAGTCAAAGTACGATGAGGGAGGGAGCGTTCCTGGGGCGTCAAACATTGAGGTGGGTGTCGTCGTGCTGGGGCTCGTGGGGCTTTCGAAATCGAGCGGCGTCAATGGCGGCGTGCGGAGGGGGCTGGATGGGGGCGACGGACCACGCGGGAAGTTCTGTTTTTTCTTTGGTTTGTGCTTGCGCTTCTTTCGTACACTCTGTTCGGCAGGACGTGGTGGTGGTGTGCTGGGAATGGCAAGCGGTGGGGCATTGCGGTCGCAAACTTGTGCCACGAGATCGGACAACACTTGGGCCACCAATGCGTTCGTCGCCTGCACCTGTCTCCGCTTCCCCTCAACCGTTCGCTTCAGTTGCGTCAAGACAGCGTCGAGCCGAGTGCGATGTAGCGCACTGTCACGAAGCTTGAGCTTGCGTTGTTTCGCCTGGGCTCTCTTCTTCGCTTGCTTAAGTGTGGGTGGTAGATCCGAGCGAGGAACTCCATCGTTGCTGGCGTTGGCAGTGGACGATAGAGACTGCCTGAGCAAACTGGCGCATTCCTTTTGCAACTCCTCGGCCCAAAGCAGCTTGACCATGGCAAATTGTGGCCGCGTCCCTGCTTCCATCAGTGTGCAGCTGAACCACGGCACCGCCGACGTCCCATTCGGGTCGACGAAGGTTGTTTTGGTACGACGACAGGATGGGGTCATCACCTCCTGGAGGAGACTTAATGATCCCTTGAGCGATGCCAGTGTGGGGGGCTCCAGGCTAAGTGCACAGATGAATTGCTTCGTCGACAGCGCGACGCGTCGAAGCGTATCTCTTTGAACTGTTTGCGAAGCAAGCTGCCATTCGTGAGCCAAGTGAAAAGTCGCCAAGCATCCGATCTTTGGGATCATGAGGGCTTGCTTCCGAAGGCTGAAGTGATGCCACAGCTGCAGCTCCTACGGTGGCAAACCATGACGAGCGACATCATCGAGAGTGGGGTACCATTTGGTGGGCTACATACGTGGCGATCGAGTAGTAGCCATATCGTTTCAGCCACTGCGACCGATAGATGAGAGTGTGGCCGACAACCATCGATGGAGACAGCGCTGGCTCACCGGAAGTTCCGACCACGGCATGGCTTTAATCGTGGCCGAGTCGGGAGGTTGGGTCAAGAAATGACCCATCGTGACGGTGTCCATGAGGGCCACGAAGCGTTCCACACTCTCGATAAGGGATACGCACGGTCCTATTGTGTCGCACGACTTGTGGGTGTTGCTTAAGCGCATGTATGTCACGACTGTGTGGGCTGCAATGTCAAACGATGCCGTTCGTGGGACTACGTGGTGGAAAGCGTCATGCCGTGCTGGATGCGACCGCGCAGGCTACCTATCAGTTCGTCGCCATCTCGACTCTTGACGACGGGGCGTCGGCTGAACGTAGGTGTGCTACAACAGGCTAAGCCATGGAAGCTACGGAAGGATGGCATGATACCTGGTCGAGACCGGCAAGGAAGACACTCCTTTGCTCTGCTTGGGCGTTGGTCGCAATACCTGGAATTCGTTAACCCGTGCTTTGAATTTGGACTTGGGAACTGCTGTCATTTGAATGACAAGCCGCACGAACGGCACATCCACGGTCGAAGCAACGGCAGCTCGCTCCATTGGAGTCAGTTGGTCAAGCCAAGTAAGGACATCGCTCCGTGCGCACGACGCCTTGTCCCTTTTCCTCCTCCTTGATTCGTTTGCGTAATGCGACGCAAACTCTGCCAGGGCATGCATCAAGCGGTCGCGCTCCCGGTACTGCGGATTCATCGTCCCACGTTGCAAATTGCAAACGTCGTGTTGCCGTGTTCAAAGCTATCCGGATAAAGAGTTGTATATTTCCCATTTTTCACGATATCGAAATATCCACAGAGGGATCGCACGATAAAGATCAATTTTGACATGTCACAGAAAAATTGCCAATTTGGTGGACTCGACAAATTTTTGTTATAGTTTCTTATTTATCTCAATATTTATTTGATTTATTTGAATACTTCGAAGTATTTCAAGTAGGTTCTTTTTGTTACTTCGAAGTATTTATTAATATAGTGTTTTAATATAGAAAGTTAGATAGCTCAGTACATTGAAAAGCTTTAAAGAAAAAGTATAACTTCAAAACACATTGAAACAACTGCATTTCCAGATATAAAACGAACCAAATCTTGATATCGACGGCTGGTGTTTACCTTATACTACGTAGTACAAAGGAACAAGCGAGCACGATAGAAGCCCCATTGAACCAAGACCGACATGGTGTACTGAAGATAATTTTTTCCCTTTGCGTTGAAATCTCAACAATACTCGACAAGAATACACGAAAACATGACCACTTCAGATTTAGAATCATATTCGAAGTACATGAAAGTCCAAGACCTAATGCGACCTGCTGGGGGTGTTTAAAACGTTGGTGAAAGCTGCCACACTCATTCGGCGTCTCGAGTTGAGGCCGTCGGCTTGGAAGCCATTGATGCGCACCCTCATCGAGCCATGGATTTGTCGATGCGATGGTTGGAATTTTATCCTAGCCAATTGTAGCGCATGTTTTTGGCCAATCATATTGCTCGCCTTCGGCTAATGATGCAAATTCGATCAGATTTTGGTCGAATTATGGCACTTATTCCAAGCAACATTGGATCTTTGCTGGTGGGAATGCCAACGCCAGTGCCGGCATTTGACATCCTCGTAGGCCTATATCGACATGCCGCGGTGTATAATGCTCGACGTAGGTATCGTCGAAAGATGAGGTTGTCCGAGACATGGCACTCCTGGCGGAGGAGCTCTGGGACGTTGCGTCGATGGCCCACGGTCCAACAGGACGGTACTGCTTCGGGAATCCAGTCACGTCTTCAAGGTGGTCGTGGTAGATGCATCGTCATTCAACCAAACAAAGACTGTGGCGATGCTTGTATTGTAACATCGAGCGCCAAACGCATCATGGAACACTTGAGGTGGGTGCTCGAGCGCTGAATCCACTTGCCATGCGACGGACTGTTTAGGTTGACATCTTCCATGGGCACACTCTTCGCGCAATATGTACAAAGCCATGTATGTCATTCTTCCTTGTTTAAGTGCGAGCGTCACAGTAGATGGTGTAGCTAAAGCAACATCGAGACGGCGGACTGTTTTGCATCATGCTCGCCTCCTCGTACGCCACTCCGACACCGCTGCATGACAAGTCACTGCCTGGGCCATTGTAGCATGCTTCGGCGAGTCCATAGCGCTTTGGAAAGCATCCCAAAGCACCGATTGTTCTCGGGTGTGCAATGTTCATCCAAACATGTTGTGTCATGGCCATGACACTAGGACTGCGCCTTGCGCAGGACTGGGCGTTGGACGAGCTCCACGACATGCAAGACGACTTAGATTGGAGTGACGCGGAAGCGATTGCAGCAGTTGTACGAGGCATTGTGTCACCCAAGTTTGTCGCGAATGTGTCGGAATCGACAGTGGCCACGTTGATGCAAGTGTTTGTGCAACACCTTCCTTGGTTGTTGGAACATCCAACGATACCGCCGATCGTTCGAGTCGTGGCATCAAGGCAGCGCCTTCCTGGTGTGAACGACGTGGTGATGCACCACACTGTGCTAATTCCTGGGCGCCGCCACGTTACCCACCTTCCGCTTCGAAACGTCAAAGTTGTCCTCTTCAATGTTACTATTCGACCTTCCCCAACCCCCACGAGTGACATTGAAGTCACTGTCAAGGTCGACTCGGAAACGTATCACTCAGTAAGCCACCCCGATATGAATGTTGTACAACTGACCAACTTCCAGGTGATGGCGCCATCGACGTCGGGACTTGTTCAAGAGGCCGAGATGGCTGGGTGGACCGCGGTCACCAAGCGTTTGAAGTCTTGTGGTGTGCAAATGGTCCTCTCTCAGAAGAAGATCCCCGCATTCCTGGCAGCACGTTTGAGCGACGTCGGCATCGCATCCATCGAACGCTTGTCGATTCAACACATCGGTTGGCCACACGGACCAGGGCAAATTTGGTTACCAAACGTTTTGTGCAGATGCAGTACAAGCTGTGACTGGAGCAGCTATTCTAAGCGACTGGACGGCGACGGAATTGAAAGAAGCGGACCTTGGAATGCTCGATCACGCTTACGCCCTCGAACTCTCTGGCGTGACGTATATTGCGTTGACGTGCGATCCGGCATCTCCAGGAAAGAGCGCGGCACTGATGGAACGAACACGACCAATGTCGACGATAGCAATGGATGTCATCGATGACATGGCGCTTGAAGAAACCGATCACGTCGTCCAAGTACGACGAATGCGATCCGAGTGCGATGATGATTATCGACATAGGCAGCTATGCAAGTGCTAACCAACTTGGTGATGGAGCCGGCAGTGTGTACAGGCGCAGGTGAGACAGAAAGGGCGATCGTGCGGCGATTGAGTCGTCGCTCAGCCGGTCTTACGGCTGACGAAACCAAGCACCAACCTGCGTGTCGAGGACTGAAGCGAGTCGTGGACACTTTTGTCGAAGCGTTGGCGAGTTGTATTGTGCCTGAGGACAACACGAGTCCTGCGGTGAATGTGTTGGACTCGGCTGCTGCGAAATCGAGCGCAATCGCGACTGCAGTCTCTCTCGTCGCGACGTTGCTCCGCGTGGACGGCGCGATCTTCACGGGCCACGCACAAGAACTGAACCAATCGCGTTGGAAGGATAATTGAGTGGCCAATCAAGTGCAAGCAACGAGTGCGAAT